TATTCCCGTTCGCACCCTCTGCCTGTCTGTCTGTCTGCCGGTCTATTCCCGTTCGCACCCTCTGCCTGTCTGTCTGTCTGCCGGTCTATTCCCGTTCGCACCCTCTGCCTGTCTGTCTGTCGGTCTATTCCTGTTCGCACCCTCTGTCTGTCTGTCTATTCCCATTTGCACCGTCTGCCTGTCTGTCGGTCTATTCCCGTTCACACCCTCTGCCTGTCTGTCTGTCGGTCTATTCCTGTTTGCACCCTCTGCCTGTCTGTCTATCTATCTATTCTCGTTCATATCCTGTCTGTCTGTATATTCCTATAAGCACCCTGTCTGTCTCCTTATCTATTCCCATTGATCTATCTCTCTATCCCCACACACTGCCCCCTTTCTCTCAGCAAGGGGGGAATATTCACTGGGGATTCATATCCCTAGTTTGGGGGGCACCTGGGTCTGGATCACTGCTGGTGCCCCCGAGAGAGAAAAGTTCCCCTGCCCCATTCCCCGCACCCCTGAGCCAGCCAGTCCCCACCCTGGGGCCGAGTGGGAGCCGGCGTCCCCTAGAGGGGACAGGCCCCTGCCCCATTCCCCCCCTCACTCTGCCTTTCTCGCTGCGTTTTGCCTGGTGTCTCTCTCCCCCGAAATAACCTCCCATGTCCCTGTCCCTGTCCCTGTCTCACCCTCACCCTGACAAGGGGCCTGGATGTGGCAGGGCGGGGGGAGGGCTGGATGTGATGGGGGGGCTGTCTCTGTTCCCAGCTGATCTAAGCCAGGCCTTTGCCACCCTCCTCCCCAAACGCCAGAGGGGCTGCATTTGGGGGGGGGGTGAGAAGCGTCATTAGATCCATGGTGCATAGGACAGACTCTGCCCTGGGGAGGGGGAGACAGTGGGGGGGCCGCGCCGGCTGCTGTCAGATCCATTCACATAACGGCCTCATGCAACACGGTTAGTGGCAGAAGTTGCTGCAGAAGCTGTGGAGGGGGTGGGGGGTCCGGGGATGGGCAGCTCGTGGGGGTGGGGTGGGGTGTTTCCCCTCGAGGGGACACTGGTTAGGATCAGGCCCTGGGTCGGGGATGGGAGGGTTGGGAGTGACTCGGAACAGAACCCAGGAGTCCTGGCTCCCAGCCCCCCCTGCTCTAACTCACCAGCCCCCACTCCCCTCCCAGAGCCACGGAGAGAACCCAGGAGTCCTGGCACTTAGCTGTCCCTGTTCTAAACCACTTCCCTGCCCCCCCGCCAACCCTCACAGGCGCGATGTGGGGGGCACAGAGTGGGGTGTGTGTGCTGCTAACGAGGGACGGGACTGGCTATTAGATCAGCGAGCACCAGGTCCGCACTGCCAGCCAGGGGTCGCCTGGGGTCAGTCCCCAATTAGGTCACGTTTGTCTACTGCTGAGTAAAGCGGCCTGTAGGCACCATCCCGCTCCCCTCCCCCTGTGCAGAGATCCCGGACTCCTGGGTTCTCTCCCCGGCGCTGGGCAGGCAGTGGGGTCTAGTGGTTGGGGGGAGGGGGGGCTGGCCCCGGCTGGGTGGAGGCCCCTGGACATGGGGAGGGGGCTGGGTGGAAGTTCAGGTGGCCACATCCGCTCCTGTCTCTTTAAATCTCTCCCCTTCCCTCCCCCAGCCCTGGCAGGGGGCTGGGACAGGACATGGAGAATTAACTGGGGCTCAGAGCTGGGGGGTGGGGGGTGCTGGGAGTCAGGACGCCTGGGTTCCAGCCTCAGCTTTGGAACGGCCCTGGGGCCAGTATTGGCTGCCAGGAGAGAGGAAAACTAGCCAGCCCCATAGACACCTATGTAGGACGGTGCCCCCCGGCTAGCTATCCTCCTCCCGCCCACCCACGTGTGTACAGCAGTGTCCCGCCCCCGCCAGCCCCGTCCT